GTTGTTGGCCTAGGCAAGCTTCCACGCTTCCACGTAAAGTATAGCTTAACAAAGTTGATGAAGCAAATTACAAGATATATTAGTGACTGTGATATTGAACGTGACTATCTGTGAGCCGCATCTATCTAGCATAAGCCCTCAACTCAGGCTCAGCGTACATCTTTTGTGGGTACGTCAACAGCAGTACACCAGCCACAGGAATGAGCCCTTCAGTAGCCAATACATCGTCAAGGTCGAGACCCTGAGCGGCGTAGGTACTGCAAACGCTCTTGACATCAATGCGATCCACATTACCCGGTCCATCGTGCGTAAGCGCATCAACGATAAGCGCGTAAGTCAGAGGGTTGAACAGAACGCCGGCATGGCCATAGAGGGAGCCGCCTAGCTGTCCAAAGCACACCTTCTGTACCTCGTTGTTGGAGACACCAACATTGCGCGCGTCATTGATGAACGCGGATGCGATAGTGCCTTGTTGAGGCTCCACAACCTCATCAAAGAGGCCGGAGTAAAAGGTCGTAGTGGGTACGTATGCGCTGTCGCCTCCATCACGCCTGAGCGATGCAATGTAATCGGAGGTAGCCTCTTGCTGGATAACAGAGGGGTCGCAGGGAAGGAGCGCGATGTCGCTGTTCGGTGTCAAGCAGATCGCGTTCGCGATGACAGTGCCCTTGAAGTCTGGAGACACGGGAAGGAAGTCCTTGACAACCTTGCGGGTTGATGGCCAGTACTTCAACACCCACTGTGTGTCCAGACCACCCTGGGACCAAGATATGACGGCGATGTTTTCCTTGTTCGTGCGTGAGACGGCACTGATGTAGTTGATGGCGTAGGCAATGTATTCAGAGTTGGTCTGCGCGTCTGCAAGCATAGCGCCGGGGATGTTGAGCCATACAGGGTCAGCATAGCTCTTGCCATTCAACAACTTCCTGAGGTTGTTGGCGAAGTTTGTGCCTCCATAAGCACCAGTTCCGGGTACAAAGATCACTGGGCGTTTCGCGCCGTAGGTGAAGCTAGGTGGGATGAAGAGTGCTTTTCGGAGCGCAGACTCGGAGAGTGTGTAAGGTGCATCAGCAGCATCCTTCTTGGGGTAGATACCGACGGTGGCTGGGTTATTGTTGTTGATGCTGTTCTCGCCGAAGGGCAGACCACCGGTGAAGGCGGCCTTTAGCGTGTCGTCAAGGACAAGGCCACCGGCTATCTGGGTCGCAACAGCGGCGAAAAAGTCCGTTCGCGTGGTCGGGCTCGCCCAGATCTGGGAATGCCTTGCAACCGCCTCTTCGATGTTCGTTGGTCGCGAAGTAGGCTGAAGTTGCTGAAGGATGTCGAGCACCTTTGGGGCATCGCCGTCCTTGACTGCTTGGTCGCATTGGCCGAGAAGGCCACCAACGAGGGAGGTCAAACCAGATGTGAGTTTACTGAGCAGTTGACGTTCATCCAGACCCTGGACTGCGTCGACGGCCGGTGCAGGTGCTGCAATCGGTGCAGGTGCCGCAGCTGGAGATGGTGCGGGAGCTGCGAGCGACGCAGGGAGAACGCTCAGAAGAGCTAGCGATTGGATGGAGAGACGCATGTTGACAATTGCTGGACCTTGGTACAAGAAGCAAGCACGACCAAAAGATGAGGAGATGCAGGGCCCTGGTCGATCAAGATAAGCAAGCACACGACCCTTCTTTAACCATTCTTACACCACGAGTCGTGAAGCTCAAGATCGTCATCCTGCCCAAACGTTGCATCGCAGTCTACCACGAAATGTTTACATTGTCACCGCTCTAGCGTCGCCGACCAGGTGGAAACGTCGCGGAAGCGCATCTTGGTATATATCGATCTGCATAGGCCTTGTAGATCATGCACTACGTAAGTCATTAGCGTACGGGACGGGCTGTGATCATGATCTCTCCCCTGAGTAAATCAAGAGCTGCTTTACTAGATCCGGTTCGAAGACTATTGAATGCGGCAGTTGAGCGCCACTGACATCGTGAACCCACTTTCCGCTTGGGCTCGGATTGACGCATGGCTCTGGCGCATTCGGCATTCGATCCACGCGAAATAACCTTCTGCACGTGTTAGAGATGCATTGTAGTGATGGTGGTTGAGCAAGGAATGCATGAACATCGGCCGGTGAAGAGTGCGCGGAGAGAAGAGGAGTTGCGTCCACAGCCAAATAGACGGACTGGGTTGTGAAGATGCGATTGGCCGAGTCTTGCCAGCACACCTGGATAACCGCCTGGGCAGTCTCTTAACCTGACCTCGCTCGACCTCGGCTTAGCAGCCCGCCAAGATATCGGCGATGAGGCTTGCGCGCTGTGGAGACATACACATGCAATTCTTCTCAGAGACGAGGGATTCTGTCCGTCAGATGGGGGTTTTGACGTTGATAAAATGTCCGTGGGCCCACACTACGCACATCCAAGCGCGGCCCAAACACCCGGTCCGCCCTGCGGAAGTTATCCCCGTACTTCTTCTTTTCCAGCCCGCACAATCTCTCCTTCCGATTCTCAACCACGGGGAGTATATTTCAGGCGTATGCTAGCGTATCACACCAGAACAAACTTGTAGTTTTTTCCAAGACCCCTCGTTCGGGCTAATCTGTGGCTAGAGCACCACTACTACTGCGTTAACATCTGGAAAGTTACTGAACCGCATACAATCACCTCTACCCCGCCACAACTCCAAGCATTTGGTCTCGACTCTCTTGTCTTTTTCTCTCTCCCCCTCAATTCTGCGCGTTCCATGGCGCCTGATTTGACGAGCTTCTCGGAGTCGTTGAAGTTGTGGGCTGTCACTGAGTTCCCTCGGCTCGTCTGGGTGTGTATACTAACGATGTCGCAACAAGAGTTTATTTGGAGGTGTCTGTATGGTCAGGTGTATAGGATCATTCCATGCCTACAGCCTACAGTAGGAAGGGACCTCGGGACCTCGGAAGTCGAACGGTCTTGAGCTCCATCAAAGTCTTGGATCGAGAGATAGTAGCAGCTTCTGCCCTCCATTCAAAGACGCAGATCCAGCGCACAAGAATCATCAACCAAGACATCAGAGAGGATTGATGTTGGATCGTGCAACACAGCAATCTGCTCGTTCTGCGATGCGGAGAACATCCCGTGTTGGTGCTAAGAACGCGTGACGTCATTTTTAACCAGGTAGCGCGGTTCACAACCGTCCCGGGACGCACCCGTGGACGCGACATCTACTTCAGCGTCCCATTTTCTGAACGACACCGTGCTTGCTATATGGGTCCTTATCACGCGCATGCGATTGATGTCTCTTTGTTTTTTACATTGGAGAAGCCCGTCGCAAAGCTACCCAGGCATCTAAATGATGCCCACCGGCTTGGAGAAGGCATGGTACAGCTCGCGGAAGAGCTCGCATAGCTGCAACGGGGAAGTAATACTTTTAAGCAGCATGCGATGTATCGGCGACATGGTAATGTCTGCAACGGTCTGCGTCATGATGTAGCTGCCAATCATGTTCTGATTGTCGCAGTCTTGGTAGTCACGTCCACAGGAACCGTAGCTACCACGCTCATAGCGTCTATGGCCCAGGCACAGACTCATCGCGACCTTTCACGTTGTACGTCGCACATCGACCCTACAAACGCACGCCCTCCCTATTCCTAATGTACCTTGCTTTATCATCGCGCAGGGCCGACACGATCTATCTGGACCCTAATGAGTAGCTCGTTCTTTCAGTTACCGCTGCCTACAGCTCCTTCTGTCTTACACCAGGCCCAAAGGCAAGATGCTGCTCTGGACGTCCTCAACACATGCACCCTTCCGCAACTCTTGGATCTCGATGACAGGCCCACATTCATGCTCAACATGGACGAATATTCGACGGGATGTCGAAATCCGATACGACCCATTTTCTGCAATGCGGCACTTCGTGAGCAACACCAACTACTGGAGAAGGTAATTGGCACTTCACCAACCGATCGCGACTTGGTGGATGGTAGTGCAACGCATGACGAGTTTCGAATATGGGCGACAATCCTCAGCCGATTCAACGATTCCAGGGACATGTTTCCGATTACCATCGAGTTCGAGAACTTGTTGTGGTTTGGTGTTTCGATCCATCCCAATTGGCGACTGATTAGCGCACACAAGCTGTTCCAGAATGAAGATGTTCCCGAAGGGGATCCGCTGTGTGCATCAGCGCCGCGACTCGAGAAAGAAGGACACAGCGATCTCACTGCCGACGCAGCGAAGCGTTTAGCTTCCGCAGAGGCAATACCGACGCGGGAGATTATTGAAGATGTGCAACAACCCAAGTTCCCGTTTGTTTCCCTCGGCCAGGACCGTGACAAGAATAGCAAGTCGAGCATCTCAGCGATCACTCTGTCTACGCCTGACTCGTCTGTACCTGACTGGACAGTGCCGCACCCCAGAGGTATTCTCTCGGATCATCTACAGTTTATACGGGGCATCGACTGGGCAAATACACCATTAGGAGCTATGAACAGATGGTCGATCCAGTTCAGAGAGATCGTCTGTTTGGTCATGCGCAACCCTCACCCGTCTTCTGTCTTTTGGGGCGAGGACCTGACCATGCTTTACAATGAGGCCTATCGAGACGACGTGACGGGCGATAAACATCCGGCTTTGATGGGAACCGGTTTCTCAGGCCCTTTCGGTGAAATGTGGCATGCGGTTGGTCCTGTAATTCGCGAATGTGCTCGGACAGGCCATGCGCAGCTAAACCACAACCAGCCGCTACCCATCATGCGTTACGGTTACATGGAAGAGTCTTTCTTTACTTGGTCTTTTGTCAGTATTGATGCCCTCGATTTGGCCCCATGAATACATCTAACAGATGGACAGGTTCCGGTCTTTGGTGGAACAGAGCGGGTCTTGGGGTGTGAGTAACACTGCGAAACGTTGCCGTACCGCGTATCAGCGAGACTCAGTGGGCTTGAGCCAAAGATACTGGAACTGCTGACTGAGATGCGAACTGTAGTCTATCTCAATGCTTTTGATACCACGGTTGAGTCGATCAGCAGTAGAAGAATGTGGTTACTGCGATCCCTCGGGGAGCGTATGAACGCCACACGTACTGTCAGTAAGTGAATATGGACGATCCTTCATGTGAGACTGACGCTAACCGCGCACCCACATTTCAGAAGAATTCTGGATAAGAGTGCTGGAAGGCCTGAATCACAACGAATACGACGTACCCTTTGCGCTTCTATATACCGTTACCGAGGCAGACGACATTGAGAATGGTTCCTCGCATTCAGATGCAACGCCAACGTCTGTCAAGTCATGCGTGTTCGAAGGATCTATCGGCGTGCCGAGAGGGCATGCAGTGTCTCCCGACAATTTCAGCTTCAAGAACTACGATGGTATCTTGACACCTGCTTTTCGAGCAGCTACCCAGACCCTGGAGCCCAGGATGTTGAGCATCAAAGACCATACGCTTCCACAGCCACTGTTAGACATCATCGAATGGCGCGGCTACAAGGATCCTTGTAGAGAGGCCATAGTTCTACCTCTACGACCAACCAATGCAGACAACGTGTGTGCCTTGTTACTAATAGGCATCAATCCACGAAGGGCTTATGATCATGAGTACAGGTCTTTCATCGCCATGCTCAATAGACAGATCGCCACGTCGTTGGCGTCAGTACTACTTTTCGAAGGTGAAGTGCGGCAAAGCAAAGAAGTCGCTGAGATGGCTACCCTACAAAGAGAACAGATGTCTCGACAGCTCCAACTTCAGACCGGACGAATGCGCCGAATGACCGAACTATCGCCCATGGGCATGTACCTATTCAATCCGGATGGACTTTTATTGGAGGCGAACGAGAAATACTACGAGATGACAGGTGTCTCACCTACAGGAACCAAACTACCTTGGACTATTGAGATGATGGTGGGTGAGAGCAAGCAAGTGGCACAAGACATGTGGAACTGTACGCGATATTGCCATGCCAGTCGCATGTTTCAAGCGCTAACCACAAAGTTTAACATCCAGATATGATAACTCACCATAAGCCAGCAAGTCGTGAGCTACAATTCGCCAACTCGACATTCCAGCCCCGAGATATCGACGGTTCACTAATCGAATATTGGGTCCTCTCTGCTAGTCAGCCAGAGCTAAGCCCCGATGGTGAGCTGATCAGCATCATGGGCTCGCTCACGGACATTTCGCATTTGAAGTGGGCGCAGGGTCTGCAAGAACGAAGACTACGAGAGGCAGAAGAGGCGAAGCGTCAACAAAACGAATTCATCGACATCACGTCGCACGAGATGAGAAGTAGCGATATCCCTCCCTATGCAGATTGCATTCGAAATGTCTACTGACGCGTTTCTCAACATCTAGACCCGCTTTCCGCGATCTTGATATGCGCCGACGATATCAAAGATACTCTGACGCACTATAAATTCTCATGCACTGGCGATCGAAAGATGGCCCAGGACTGTATCGAGGCTGCTGAAAACATCGCTCTTTGTGTTCAGCATCAAAAGTCGATCGTCGACGATATTCTCACGGTCTCAAAGCTGGACTCGAATCTTCTCCGCATCACTCCAATTCCAGCGCAGCCTATCATCGTTGTACAGCGGTCTATGGCAATGTTAGTAGCCTGTAGTCGAATATATACGGAAGCTGGGCTGACATCATCCTAACAGGTTCCGTCCTGAAATACAAGCCAAGAACATCGACTTCAAGTTCGTTCCGCATCAGAGTATCCGAGACCTCGAAATTGACTGGGTCATTCTTGATCCAAGTCGACTCCTTCAAATCATCGTCAACCTTATTACCAATGCCATCAAGTTCACTATGGACGCACCAGTTCGCTCGATCACAGTTCATGTCTGTGCTCATGCGGAATCGCCAGACTTTGGCGTACCAGAAGGATTCCAATGTAAGTAGCTGCATTAGTTGAATATCCTGAAGGTGAAGCGCTAATTCTATGCGCCCGCCGTTAGTTGTTCCGCCAAGACAAATCGTGAGCGAATTCGGAAACGGCGAGGGTTGGGGCTCAGGCTCGTTTGTCTATCTTCGGTTCAATGTCCAGGACACTGGATGCGGTTTGTCGCCTCAGCAGATATCGCTGCTATTTGAGAAGTTTGCGCAAGCTGTGAGGAGCGACCAGCCCCGAACCACTGCAAAAACTAGGCTGACAGATTTCTCAATGTGAAGTCTCCACGGACACATATGCAGTACGGCGGTAGCGGTCTCGGACTCTTCATCTCGCGCCAACTTGCCGAGCTTCACGGCGGTCAGATCGGCGTCTCGTCACAAGCTGGCGTCGGCAGTACTTTCGGGTTCTACTTGAAATGCAAACGCATGATTGCAAAAAAGCCTACGATCTCAACAGATACAGTGAAGCACGCTCTAGACGCCGAACACGCGGCATCTTCGCGCAAAATCAGCGCCGCAGCTGCGAACCAGAACTCCACCGCGCCCGCTGCCACGCCTAAGGAAGTTGAGACCCCGGTACAAGCACAGATTCCCCGGCCCACAGACGACAAGAAAGACGAAGAGGAAGATGACCGACTTCACGTTCTTGTCGTCGAAGACAATCTAGTCAACCAAAAGGTACTGGTGAAACAGCTCACAAAAACTGGCTGTGTCACACATACCGCCGATAACGGCGTCTGGGCATTGAAGCATCTCGCGAAAACGAGATTTTGCGTTGCTAATGGCATGCCACTCACCATCATTCTCATGGACTGCGAGATGCCGGAGATGGACGGCCTCACCTGCTGCAGGAAGATACGAGAGATGGAGGAACGGAAAGAGATTACGAAGCATGTGCCAATCATTGCGGTCACCGCGAATATTCGAGGGGGACAGATGGATGACGCAAAGGAAGCGGGTATGGATGATGTTGTTGGAAAGCCGTTCAGGATTCCGGATCTCTTGGCCAAGATGAAGGCCTTGTTGAAGAAGCTTGAGGACTAAAATGATACATCTTTCCTAATACAAATCCTTGAAGCATAGGTAGTCCTGGACAGTCACCGTCAACCCTATATCTCATACTACAAGGTCTTTGATGTGGGACGAGGTCGTATGCAGTCAGTGGACCAATACCATCGCCAACAAACTTTTCGATGCTGGCTGTGGTGGCGCTGAGTATGGCGACACACTCAATACTCAGAACATCTTCACCAGTTATCGACAAACTTATAAAACGTCGAGGCCATATGAACCACCTATGTTGTTCCCGTCGTGCGACTTCGGTCGAGGTCATCCAAAGATGCTTTACGTTCGCAGATACCCCGAGAGACTCGATCAAGCGGCTTTCATAGCCTCAAATCGCTCTTCTTCTTAATTCATGTAAACTCAGACTACCAGACACATGTGTTGAAGACCTCTCGCAGACATTACAAAAAGACAGTCGGGTAAACTCCATGCATCTAGACTCCCCAGACGAAGAAACAGCGATCATACATTGCAAACCCATCCATTTTGGACACTCAGACCAAACACAGACATGCTTCTAACTTCTTGAACTTTTGGTCGACGAACTCACAAATTCGCCGCCATGAACGGAGAGAAGAAGAAGAGGTTTGAGGACGGGAGAGGAAGTTTATATGCAACCAAGGGTGGTGCTAAGGTAGCGCTAGTCAAACATGATGGTACCGACAAGATGGTATTGAAGAGGGGGGCAGGTGACGTAGCAACCTGACGTTGCAATGGACGTCACTAGCTGATAAGAAGCATACCTACCCAACGTTTGTCTAGTACCGAGGGAATGACATGATGACGAAAGGAAAGAAGGGAAATCCAATCAAACAGTGAAGGGCAGAAGGAAATAGGGCAGGACAGTATGAGACACCCATCACCGACTTACCGTTCCGTCTTATGAGCCAGCGCTCACATCCAAAACATGATCTTGTCGAGAGACTCGTGCCAAGGGTTTCCCGTTTGGTCAGTCTTGTACGCGTAGAACTCGTTCTTGGCGTGTTGCATGACGAAGTCCTTGGTGAAGGCGCGAAGGCTGTCCTCGTCTTGCCCTTCATCTGCAAGCTCTGCGTTAGACTTCGCATTATGCACCGTCGAGTTGAACTGCTGTCCTTGACGGTATAGCAGATCACGATTGTTCTGACGTGCAGTCGAGTGGTTGGTTCTTGCGGTATCGATACTGGCCTGCAGCCCCACATTGTTGGCGGTCCAGGATTCGGGGAGGTAGAGACGTGCTCGGTCGCACAAGCGGTCGGCATAGTAGGTTGGGGCTGCGTAAGAGATACCACCCGTGGCTCGGCAGTAAGTGTAGCAGAGACTATGAGTCTGTTAGGGTAATTAGCAAAGAGTAACGAAGCCAAGATTATAGGCTATTTCCAACAATGAAGCGAGCGCGAACTTACCAGCATCCGAAGATCGTCGATGGTGGTGCAATTAGGAATCTTTCCGTCCGCGAGCATAAAGTAATGAGTTGGTCTCGCTGTACCCTTGACACCGCTGTGAGACTGAAGATAGAAGTCTCGATAGTATGGCGAGGTGACGACTCGGTCCACATAGGTGCCAGGAAGGCAATTGTTGTTTCCCCATTCAGTGTCCGCATCCTTGTCTGTCATCGGGTAGAAGCGGGTATGGTGGCGTTTCACACCCACCAAAGCCGTAAGCCTCACATCCTTGACACCGCCCAGTAAGATGGTGTTGGTAGCGGCTTGTGCTTCTCTCCATGCTCGGCGGATAGCTCTCAGCTCGACGCTCACTACCTTCTGGTAGTGTCCTGTTTGAAGGTATGAAGTCAGTAAGCTGAACAAGGTATAGGTCACACACAAAACTTGTCAGTGGACATACCTTCGGACACTCCGTCGCGATAATAGATGATGTTCAGAGGGAAAAGACCCCCCTTGTCAACCCGCTAGGCCTTGATTCTCTCTTTGACCATTGACATAATGTTCTCTTCGTCAATTATCTTGGTTACTGTCAATAGAATTCGGGAGATGAACGGTGGAACTTACCTCTCGGTCGTCTCGGTCCTTGCTTTGGAGTCGGGCAGATCCCGGGAAACAGCCGCCGTGATTGTCGATAGAACCAACCATACAGGCAATAGAGGGTGTATCTTCGAGTGCTCCAGCTGGGGGATGTACTAGATCTGCACCCAGAACGAGCGTCTTTGTCTCCAAGAAAGATTTGACCTTCGCCACGTAAGAGTTCACACCACCGAACTTGATGTTTATCTTCTGAGCAACGTTGCTCATGTACTTGGAGTTCGAGAATAGCGCCGGCTTTGCTAAACAGAGAGAGCGTAGCCCATACTTGCGGTCTGCCAGGTTCTTGAACTCCGAGTAAGCGCTGCGGTCGAAATTCTGAAGCAACAAAACCGCCAGCTCAGCCTCGGATTCTTTAGCTTGCTTCATTCTTAGTTCCAAGGAAGAGCCTCTGAGTTCACTTGCAGCTTCGCTGGCATTCAAGCGGACTACCCCCTCGGCCTTCGTATTGCATCTTCGGAGCATTTGGTCTTGCAACTCCGTCTCGAAACCGGCCACGGGGACTGTCGAATCCAATGAATGAATGACAAAGTATTTCAACGTCTGTACTTTAGGGGTGTAGAAAGCTGTGAAGGGTTGCAGGTTCCAAGCGGACTGCGTAAAGGATGGAGGTTTGTCGTTCGCCTTCTTGTCTTTCTCAGGACGAAACGTATTCCATTGGTACTGGACTTCAGGGTAGGACAATGTTGTGGAAGGTACCTGTAGCATCGTCGGATACAAGGACAGTGGGACATTATTACGCTGCACACGAGTTAGCTCCAGAGCGGCCAATGTGGAGAGTCGCTACTCACAAACTGAACCTCCTCATTCTTAGCGTTGGCAAACCCAAGTTGAGAAAGGCCTTCATTTTCGATGAGCCACTGCGATTGACCTGGATCAAGTGCAGCCATCTCGACCATGTTGCGGGTAAATCGATCGGGAACAGGACGTGTGTACAGTTGGTAAGGAATGATGCGAAGCATTTCTTGAGCGTAATAGACCGGGTCACCAGCTGATCCCACGTTGACAGCCTTTCGACCTGGGACGGCAGACTGACCAAACACTGTAATGACGTTAGCCAACGCACTAAATATAGATGAGTCTTATTACCTGTCATCAGATGATCAACTACCTGAGTAGGAGGATCGAGTTGCCAACCACCTGGTTGGGTTATGTCCCTTATCGGTTGTCCTTGGGCATCTTTGGATACTTTCCGGAAGGACAGAGTGCCGATAGCGGGTCCAAGATCCTTGATCTTCTTGATACGAGCACCTGGCCTGTTCAGGCGATCCTCAGAATGAGGGAACTCTACATAAACCCGGAGAGTTTTGAGATTGACTTGTCGTTCCCAGTCGCTGCTGAAGGTGCCACGATCCGCAAGAAACTCGCTTACAAGGATTGGACGAAAGAATGCACTAGTCGCAACGTTGAAGTTCATGAGCAGGTTTCCCATACCCGGCCTGACAGCGTAATGGTAGCCTCGAATGATCTCAAGCGACGTGGAACTTCCAAGGTTTGCGCGAGCTTTTCTTACGTAGAATTTCTTTCCAGAAAGCCGGACTACGCTTGCGTCAAAGCTCTTCGCAATAAGGATGTTAAGACACCGCTCCGCAGAAGTATGGTCAGTCTTTTCTTGGTCCGGGTTACTCTCGCTCTGCTGGATGAGACCAGCAACATCGACCGTTCCAACGAAGCTGAAACGCGCTGGGATGGTAATAGCGCTATTGACTACAAGATCGCGGCGCCAAGTAGATGAAGTGCCTGCTTCGAGCGTGCTAGGGTCCATGTTACTGTGCAGGCTTTTCCAAGATACGATGGTTTTCTGGCCGTCTGTAGCGAAACTGTCCTGGTGGGCGTTGAGGAAAGGCCATGTATCGACTGCTTTACGAAACAAAGCCTGGATCTTTTTCCGAGTCGGACCGTCCGCGTCGAGATCGAGAATTTCGTACTCGTAGAGTTCCTTGTCGCGCGTCTTCAGCTGGAAATGGTTGGTCAAGATCGTTTTCTTCGAGCCGCTATCGAGAGATTGGAGTTTAGTCCGAATGGGAAATCTTCCGGCGTGTGGTGGTTTATTCTTGTTGACTGCGTAGGCCAGTGACGCTTGTTTCTTCGCGAAGTCGGCCTCATCCCATGCGCGACCAGGTCCCGTTCTGACTGGATTGTCTGGTACTTGTAAATCGGAAGGAGGGTAGTAGAAGTCGTGAGTTGTGTCGTTGGCCCATACCGTCAGGGCGTCGTGCTTCTCGGCAGCCTGTGTTGTCATTACCGTGGGTATCAGCGACTAGAATGAAGATAGTTGTTCTAAAACTGCCCAGTGGCTCTGGTGTGACTTTTGCATCAGAACTGCAGATCCTTAATATACCTCCAGCTTACCCATTCAGCTTGCTGGTCAGAGGCACACTCGCAAGAATATCTGTACACAAACGGTGATGATTACACGCGCAAGCGGTGTGATGCTCCAGAATCGTTGTTTCATTATGAGAAAGCGACTATACGCAAGGGAAGCTGATCGTGAAGTCAATCAATATATTGATTGTGCCTTGCGGTAGACAAGCGAACATGTTTTGGGTTACTACCAACGAGCAAATGGAGCTGTATGACGACGGACCAGTTTCGAGAAAAAGTCGAGAACATATCGGGGTGCTAGATGAAACCGAGTCCAGTTTGCGCATGACCAGATCGCAGTCTCGAGGTCGAAGAACACGCATTCGTTATGTGAAGTCGCGTCGCGATATGTGAGCGCCGAATGCCCGCAGAGAGGTGCGGGCTTGCCCTGGTGAAGGTAGTACATCGTATCTGTGGATAACATCCATGTTGATGTCTGTTAATTAGAGGATCCATGGTTCCGATTTGAGAAGCTCGGGTGTGGAGGTTTCGTCTCATTCCCGCTGGCCGAGATACGATCAGGAGCTCAAGCGCCATCACGTGCTAGCGCATTTTACGCGACGCGTCAAACCTGCCTTCATCTCCACCTTGCCGTCCAGACCACACTACACCACAATACGCAGCACCATCTCCGCCTACCACACACAATCATCCGGCAGAAGCACAACACATCTATACTACATTAAGCGCTCACAAAGCTTCTCCGCACAAAAATCCGAAAAAGCTAGCTTCACAATGGACCACCCACAAACCCCCCGCATCCTCGCCCCACACCTATCAAACTTCCAACACCGCATCGTGCGCATGCTAGGCAAAGTCGTGCAACTGCGCGGCGAGACGGCAGTCATCGATGCAGGAGGCAACGTTGATGTCATCCTGAACAGGGTAAGTATTCTCGCATGCAGTTTGAAATCATGAAAGCTAATATTGAACGAACTAGGATTCACACCTCGCCGTCGGCCACGCAGTAGAGATCATCGGCAAGGTAGACCAGAATCTGCATGTCAAGGTACAAGCTGCTACAGACTTTGGGACAAACATCGGTATGTGCCCTCCTTTACCAAGTAGGGTTTATGTTGACGCAAGAGCAGACTTCAATGCCGCAAATGCTGTTGTGGATGCTACACATCGGTACAAGGAGATCTTCTACGATGACAACTAATTGTAAGGAGTCAGTAGATCTGCCGTCGGGAGTCGCTAGCGAAACGATCACCGTACGTTTGCAAGCGGAAGAAGGTCTTGGCCAGATGTGTGTATATCTGCAAATCAATCGTATAAATTCAATACGCTATGTGTTCTACGCCCATTGTATGGTATCTTCCCGCCACGTAAATTGAGCGCCTCGTGAACGCCTACCCATTCCAGACAACGCTCGCATATTCATACAGTTACACTAAAAATTGCCATCTCGATTAGGTGCTTAGAGCTTACTTCGCACTCCCTCGAGTCTAAATTTAACATCTTTGAGCTGTTTCCCAGTTGGCTTCCATGCCTCAAACATGCCCAGCAACTTCTCCACTTCATCTCCAAGTTCTTTTTTGACGAAGTCTTCTTCGAGTAACCCCCTCATCGCCCACGGTAAGAAGTAAGGGTTTGGGTTTGTTGTGGTGGCAGATGGCTCGTAGTGATTCACCCGGAGCTTAAATACGTCCTCCTTCTTACTGTTATTTGCGAGTTTCTCACCAATAATGGGGATGTTGATACCCTGGAAACTGCCCGCGGTGTTCGGTCGCTCTTTAGTTGTTGTTGGTGTCGGTAGGGATGTTGTTTCGAGGGCGTGTTGGACGGCTAAGGAATAGATGGCAGGGTCTTCGTAGACGCGGGAGTGGCCTTCGCCGCCATAGAGTGAGCCTGCAAGGGCGGGGGAGAGTTCGCGAATGAGGCCGTGATCGGGGAGACCCAGATTGCGTAGCTTCAGCGCGAAGCCGACGAGGTGGGTTAGAAAGTCTGGCGCATGGATGCGGCCATCGACGAAGACCGCGCGATATATGTAGGGGTGCGAAAGCGTAGAGAAGGTTGATGACTGGTATGTGTTAGTAGGTGCAAAAAGTATGTTTCGAGAAGAGTCTGCTTACTTCAAGAGAGACCAGCTGGTCATCGATGCTACCAACGTATAGTATCCGCACACCAAAACGAAGGACTTCGTCTAGAGCAGCAAGATACATCTGGCTAACAAGACTCTTAGGGTTGGAGAACTCAAACAACTCGGCAGCCGTAGGGCCAAAGTACTTCGTCTTGTACTCGATGAATGGGCCCATGTTGACACCGGCCATGGCGCATACTCCGATTCTCGTTGCGTTGACACATCCAAATTGGATGAGCTTCGCGACAAGCATCATAGCTACCGGCACACCCTGCGAGTGGCAGGCGACCAAGATGAAGTCGGCTTGCTTCAGGTGATCGATCCAGTTCAGCAAGAGTTTCCACAAAGAGTTGACGCGCTCAGCAATGAAGCCCTCTCCTTCTAATGCTATCTGCTCAATCTCTGGACTGTATCCCCGCGCTTCGGTCCAGTCTTTGATCGCTGCTGCCGCTGCATTCGCGAATCGAATTGATGTACCCGTTGGTTGCCCTAGCACCTTCTGAATGATAGGCGCAGGGAAGAAGCCATGTACGCCAATCGCTACAGCCTTCTTGATCTTCGGCGGTGCCGGGTTGATATGTAGGTGAGGGGTCGCAGGCTCGCCTCCGAGGAAGTATCGCCGGATTTGCTTCCAGAAAGTTGGTTGCTGGACCATTTGGTAGGTGGTCCTGAACTCTGGCAGCAGGAGGTTCGCCGGTCCTTGCTTGGCCTTCGCTGCCTGCTTGAGCGCTTGCTTGGCAGCAGTTCCTGTCTCGGGTTTGGCGTCGGGCTTCGTCTCGGGTTTCGTAGGCTCGAGCACTGGTGAGGCCTTCGTCGGCGTAGCGGGCTTACTTGACGTGGGAGTATCTGCTGGCGTGTCTTTAGCGGGAGGCTTTGTCTTCGGTCTGCCTCGTAACGATGCAAACGATTTCTTGGTCACCGGTTCCTCTTTGGGTGGCTGCTGTGGTTCTTTGGGTGTCTCTGTGTCTGTTTTGGGCTGCTCTTGCTCGTTGAACTGCGCTGCTTCTGGATTCGATTGTGAGGGGGTATCGAACACTGCGACCTCGCCGACATGTTTCTGCGGTCCGGCCTCTCCTGGCTTCTTTTCGTCTTCTGGCTTGCCCCTATACCAAAAAGCCCATGCGGAGGTTTTTGAGGGTTCTGTAGTACTCTTTTGAGGGGTTTCGATAGGCGCATCCGGGGCAGTGGGTGCTGGTGTCTCTTGAGGGGCAGTGGGTTCGGGTTCAGCAGGTGCTTCGGGGAGAGTCTGCGGTTCGGTATCGCCTTTAGCTGAGTCGCTATTCTCAGTGGGAGGCTCGACTGGAGGTGGATTCGCCTGCGCATTCTGCGCACTACTCCACGTCCAAAACCAAGAGCCAGATGCAGCTCTCGCCAGGACTTTGGCAGTTGTAGATGCTATAGCCCTCGACTCTGTATCTGGACGAGGTGCCGCTTCTTTCGGCATATCCTTCCCATCTACATCTGCGACCTGATCGGTGTCGGGTTGGATAGTGCCAGCATCTAGGCCCTTCGTTTGCGCATCTGGCTCTTCTGAAGGTGTCGGTCCAGGAAGTGGCGTGGTGGAAGCCTCGTCAACGCTGGAGTGTGCCTCGCTTTTGACTTTGGCTGGATCTGCGTACCCGTCGGGGCGTGACCACCAAGATTTCCATCCCCATGCACTAGCAGCTGCGTCCACTTGTGATTTTGGCGGTTCGGGGGGTAATGGCGGTTCGGAAACTTGGGGCGCTGGTGTCTCTTCGACTTCTTGCGGCTGCAGCTTTGGCTTTGGGGCTTCATCGAGGAGACCGTCCGAGGATACGTTCACCTGGGTGATGGAGGCGGGTATGGCATCGCCCTTGCTCGACTTGCGCTTGGTGAGGAACTTCTTGGGCGACTCGTCTCTTGGCTTCTTCGCTTCCTCATCAGGTAGTTCGCCTGTCGCGCCGCCGCTGACTCCGATGCTTTCCTTCGCGGTCTGGACTATGGCAGGCGCTTTCGACCGCCAACTGCCCGTGCCCGAAAGCCACCTCTTGCCTCGCGGTGTCTGTGTCCCGGAGGCGGTCGGTGTTGTGGCGCCAACTGAAGACGTTGACGCTGCTACCGACTGGTCAGAGGGTGCATCTGGCAGGATGTCACTACTGCTGGGAGTAGTGTCGGCCGTACTTGCATCCTGTGGGACTGCTGGGGCCTTGGTGGATGCGTCGGAGGGAGCCTCGGGGTTTGGCTTGGACTTCTTGCGTGGGTTCATTCCGGCAGGGAGGGTGAAGGAGCTGAGAAGGCGATGCGACCGCTGGATCAAGCATCAGCACGGGCAAGACACGTGAAGTTGGCAGCATACCTTCATCCCGAGGTGGACCAGGCGCGTCGTGCTGAGCCAGCAATGACGCATGTGGGCCCATCCCGTGCACTAGTCCTGGATTAGCGTACCCTGATAGCGTGGATTCTGCCACCGCCTAGCGATATTGCCGGGCTTCCCAAATTTTGTAGCGCGAACTTTTGCCCGCCGTACCACGACGCCGAACCGCAGCAATGGCGATCCAGAAGAAGGTGCGCAAGTACAGAATTAATACTGGCGATAGTGACTAATCTCCAAAAGCACGGAAAAGGTCGTCTCGACAAATGGTACAAGCTCGCCAAGGAGAAGGGCTATCGTGCGCGTGCCGCCTTCAAGTTGATCCAGCTGAACAAGAAGTACAACTTCCTCGAGAAGAGCAAAGTCTTGATTGATCTTTGCGCTGCGCCCGGATCATGGTGTCAGGTCGCTTCCGAGGTACGTTACCATTCTATACACAATGCGCCTGCATGCTAAAAACCAC